AGAGAAGGGATGGGGAAAAAAAAATCACTGTTTTGGAGTGGCCAAGTCAATGTTCAGACCTAAATTCTATAGAAATATTGTGGCAGACTTGAAATGAATAGTTCATCAGGCTAGAGACCCCTCAAATGTTATATGAAGAAGTTCCTACACTCCTTTAAAAGAGCCTTGAGATCACTTCTGCATTATTGTACTGAGGGGAACTAATAATAAATTATTCCAAGGCTAAAATTCTCACTTTCTCCAAATGCCCAAAACAGAGAAGCTGGAACTTAGGTGGGCAGCCCATTGAGCAGATTAAGATCTTCAGATATTTAGGGATAGTTTTTCAAGCTTCAGGAAGCAGAAATGCCTACCTGGTTTATGTATCTCATAATGTACAGAGATCTGCATCAGCTTTTCAAACTTACTTTTTCCAGAGGAGCACAGTTTATCCCTGCTGCAGTTAAGTTGCTTGCAGCTAAAGCCTGAGCACAACTGCTATACGGGGCTCAGTTAGGACCATATAACAGCATGGTTATCTTAGAAAGAATTCAAACAAAATTTTTGAGAAGAATCTTTCAGGTTACCCGCTGTCTTCCAAATGCAGTACTTCAGCGAGAAGTAGGAGTCAGTAAACTTGAATCCAGTCTATCAGAGGATAAATATCTTTACCTACTGGCTAAAACTACACCACAATCCTAGTGGACTGACCATCTAATATTGGCAGACAGCTTCAAATCTTGGGAAACGGCTATCCAAAAGAAACCGAGCCACTGTGTCTTTTCCAGTGATGCCATCTTAAATTTAGGGCCAGACCAAGCTAGATCAATGTTTAGGCAAAGGATCTTAAATATAGAAGGCCAAACAGAAATTGTTACTTTTTCTCATAATTGTAAATAACCATATTTTAACGCCTAAACTGGCTTCATGTTTATATTATATCACAGTTCCTAAATTCAGGAGAGCCTTATCCTTAGCTTGATTTAATGTTCTCCCCACAACTGTTTTGGAAGGGAAATATAGGAAAACCCCTCATGAAACTCAAAACTGCCCCGTGACACGGTTGCTATAAAAACATTCGCCACCAGTTGATTACCCCTTTTGAATCTAAATTTCCAGGGCACTCCGATAATTTTTATTTGCACTATTTGTTAAACAATCAGGATAAATCTCTCTCTCTCTAAAAATAGCAAAATTTTGCTACATTACACGCAAGTTTCGCCCACATTGCCATTGATGTTAGGGGTTAACTTTGTTTGTTTTACTGAATGTATTTTTATAAGTCAATGACCAAAATAAAGTTTCTGTCTGTCTGTTAGCAATGTGAAAGACTGATAACCAATTACAGGAAGTATTTGATTGCAGTTACTGCAACTAAAGGCGATATAGTCAGTTACTGAATCTAAAGGCATGGGTACTTTTTTACTCAGATACATTAATGATGCCTAGCTATATATCTCCACCCCAGGTTAAATGAGAGATGTAGTAGAAGTCCTTATCTGGAGCCTTGAGGCTATCATGGACTGGTGGGAGAGAAACAAGCTCAGAATCAATGCAAGCAAGACAGAGTAGTTATTAATTCAGAAGTCTTCTGATTCCAGGACAGTACCAAGTTTGACTCTCAACAGGATGTGCTCTCCAGAGAGATGAGGCCTGCAACTTGGGGTCTTCCTAACCTCATAGTACTTGATGACAAGGGGCTTAACAGTAGGCATTCTCTGTGAGCTCTTCCCTCCTATGGAACAGTTTGTCCCCCAAGAAGAGGATGGCCCCTGTTTTTATGATGCTCTGAAGAATTATTTCAGAAGGTCTTTGGAGGTTGATTGTATACAGTCATTGGTTTCAGAATAGTTAGCTTTTACTATGATTATTATTATGTGATATTATCTTATTAAGTACCACTTCTGATGGGGGGGGGGAACAGATTCTGGTGGCATCTTTTTCGGCCAGCAAATTTTCTGAAAAAGCATAAGCTTTGGTGAGCTTACCATCATAGAGTAACACGGCTCTCCTCCTACAGCATGTGATGACGTGAGCTACAGCTCACAGAAGTTTATGCCTTTTCATGGAGTATGTTGGTCAGAAGAAGTGCTACCAGACCCCTTATACATTCTGCCACAAATCTCTTTATCACTCACAGATTATGGGTTTTTTAATGGTTTTAATAGTTTTAATGTGTTTTAATGTTTTTTGTTGTTATTATTGTAATTATTTTTTTAGTTATTTTTGTGTTTTTAACTCTGTAAGCTGCCCAGAGTCACATATGTGAGATGGGCAGCTATATAAATTGAATAAATATAAATATATATTTTCTGTGCAACTCAGAATCCTTTGGGATCCTTTGCGGCAATTACAAATAAACATATAATTAGCATGTTTGGTGACTTTATGAAATAAATAAAATAATTACCAACATTATCTCAAATTCCCTTTATGTATTAGTAGGGCCCATATAAAGTTATTATATTCTGTGGCACAGTAATGTAAGCATTCAGAAAATCCAAAAGGGATTTTCAGAAAATTGCGTACAGGTGCTTGGGATTCTTCCAACAGTGGCTTGATATAGACCATAGCTCATCTCCTCTCCCCAATGGTTTGAATAATTCAAATAACATAGTTAGTATTTAAAATGCTTCTTAAAATACTTCTTCTGAAATACTTCTTAAAATCATCTTTAAAAATATCCAACCAGCAACAATCTATTGTACAATTCAATCTAGAAATAAGAATCTAGGTATAAATATGGTGTGAGAGAGATTATTGCATCCCCAAGCATTGCCAACAAAAACTCAACTTGGGAAACTTTTGTAAATGGAAGTCAAATGTTTGTTTAATACACAGAATTAAATTGACTTGACAATAAGATATTACATAGCCATCTCTTGGTTTATTAGAAATGACAACATAAATTCTTTAATACTGTTTAATATTTGTTTATCTTTTCCTTTTTTATTGGAGTTTGTGTTATACATATATTTACCTAATTTACTTATTTCACCTCAGTGAAGGAAACATATTGAACACTATATATACTCTTGATTCAAATGCATGAAAGGTAGAATATAGAAATAAGAAAAATGAAGTAATAAAGAGGTCTGAATACAATATTAAAACTAAATCCATGAATCCTTGATACCAGGAAAAAGCAGTTGTAACTACTGAGAAATTAATGATAGAGCTATACAGGTAGTCCTTGCTTAACGATGGTAATTGGGACCAGAATTTGCATTGCTAAGCAGCATGATCATAAAGTGTGATGTCATGCAATTGTGCTGCTTAGTATGGCAGTTCCAGCATTTCTGGTAGCTGTCATTAAGTGAATCCCACACCATTGTTAAGTGTGATGTAACATGGTTGCCATTAGTGACCTCCTGCTGGCTTCCCAGTTAACTTCACTTGTTAACGAAGGTCTCAAATGGTGATCATGTGGCTGCAGGATGCTTTGATGTAATTGCGAACTGGTTGCCAAGTGCCCAGATCACAATCACATGACCGCATGGACACTGTGATGACCACAACTATACCACTCATTCAGCGCAGTTATAAGTTCGAATGGTCATTGAACAAGTGGTAGTTAAACGAAGACTACCTATATATTCAAAGGGATGTCATTATACATGCTCTCTCTTTTTAGAAGATTATTCATCATATATACAAATGTTACTTAAATGTATGTAACTTGCAAGTTTCAGAATATTTTTATTTTTGTTGTTATATTATGCAGAATAATTATTGTTAATATTTAGAATCCTAATTACTGAAATCTTGTTCAGTTGCACTTCTGTCTTTTCTCAATAATGTTTGTGTAATTTTAATTGTAGTGTTCCACTGCTGGTAACTTGTGATAGTAGTGATAACTTGCTTTAAAAACAAGGGGAAAAATCATAGCTGAGTTTTGTAGAAAGTTAAATGTGCACCTACATGAGCTTGGTGAAATATATACATCTTTATTCTAATCATACATTTTAGGAGCTAGTGAATGCAATTTAGGGTTCATTTGTAGTTTTTCTTTAGAGTAATTATATCTGAATGAATTACTTCTGGAGTATCTGGACTGTACTAGAACAAATATATTAAATATATAAATATATGCCCAATTCTTCTTCCAAATTATCTTTAAAATTGGAGGGTCTGGAATATGAATGGGATAGAAGAGGGTTTTTTTTTCTTTTTCAGGGCAGCATTAGTCAATATGGTAACAGTGATTATTTTTCTGTATCTTACAAGTATAAAAATGTCATATTTTGGATCAGATGTTGGTACCATCATTCACATAAAAATCACAAAGTGTTCAGCAAAAGACGAGAAACCATTAAAAAGCCTTAACTGGAAATCTAATACTTGCACCTCCACAGTGGAACAGATGGAAATATTGAAGGGAAAAAGCACCGCAGCTTGTATTGTAATTCTGGGGCATGTAGTTACAATTCCACATGTTCACAGACTAAAAGCTGTGGTTTTTAATGCACTTGCATGCTTTCTACATTCTTGATAAAAGCAGAGAAACAATGAAGCACTTGTGGGATTACCTGGTTCTATGTCAAGTTTTTCCCCCAATATCATTGCTAGGGCTGGTGTGCCAAGTATATAGCACTTTTTTTTTTTCTTTTTAAGGGAAAGGAAGAGGAGGGTGGAAATACGAAGGAGGCAGGAATGTGTTTGGATGTAGCCAATCGGCAATATGCGGCTGTTCTTTTGGCTGACTTTCAAAACCAGAAGAAAAGAAGCCACCGTGCTAATTGTGGCTAGGTCTCGAACTGAAAATGTTTTGTGACAGTTGAAAGAATTTAAGGAGGAAGCAAGATCGGTTTAATGTCAGCTGCAATTAGATAATCAAGCTTTAAAGTCCTCATCTGTTGATGCCTTACCCAGAGTTAAGGGGGCTGTATGCTGGGGGGAGGGGGGAAAGTAGAAGAGTTTCCCTGCATAGAAAGAGCATTTCCAAAGCTAGCAGAGCTAAGGCCTGAGCAAGCTTGCAGGTTGTCTGGGTGCACACTTGCACTGAGCGGTTTTCTTGGCAGCTCTACAGGATGAGGCTCACTCTCAACACAGCCGACATATTGAAGCTGAGAGCCCAGGCGAACCTAGATGCAGAAGGGGAGGCAGCTCTGTACACAATGTAGCGTCTCCTAGGATGGTTGGGCGTCACCTTTCCTCAGGTATTTTATTACTCATTGGCCCCTTTAGAGCAACAAGAGGAAAAAAAGGGAGGGGGGCAAATAGCATCTGCTTCTGTTAAATCAGTTTATTACATAATGTTTTAGAGGCGGCAGCAGCACAGCGTCCTAAGCTTTTGGCTGCCTTTCAGGTTTGATAAAATGGCGTCCTCAGAGAAAGAGCTGCTTGCTAAAGATATGCTGCGCTGGGCAGAAAAATGAAGTTATTATTTGTCATTATCTACTGCTGTTTGGTTTTGAAGTGTTAGTATTTCACGGAGTACTCATTATCTAATAATGAAGAATGTTCTCTTTTATGCTGCTCAGCTCTTTTTCTGAATGCATTAAAGGTTCAGAGGGAACATACTTCGTTGCATACCGTGGCAAAAAGAAAAAAAGAAAAGAAAATTAGGTTTTTCCACTTGTGTGACTTAGTATTGGATTCTGTCTGTAAATGAAGCTGTTTTATTTTGGGTTCTCCCTTAACTCCTTCATATCTGCATCAGTTTTTCTGGCACAGTCTTAGAATTTAAGCATTTATACAGTCATTCTTGTTGCAATTCCCACCTAAATGTTTATAGTTAGAAATTCAGAACACAGAGACAAATACTTCACCTAATATTATAAAAGAAACAACCCAAATTCTTACAGACTTGTAACATTTTTGAAAAGGGGTTTGACCCCCAGGTTATAAATGCTGTAGAAATCAGGGGGTGCTCTTAATAATAAAGTTTGACAGTCTTAAGGAGTCCCTTTACGTATTTTAAAAAACTTTTTTTTGTCTTCATCCTGAATATCTACATTATTATCTATAAGGTTTTGTTTTCACTGTGCTTTAGAATATTGCCTTCTAACATGCCTTAACTGATATTTTAAATAAATAAGAAACCAAATGTTGGGTTTAACTGTTAAAAGCGTCTTTAATTGTTCGATATAAACAACATTGTACTAAGTTTTTATTTTGATGAATCCTCATTTAGAAATAGTTTTGTCACTTCCATCCTAAAGTTGCAAGTTATTTTTTAAAAAATTAAAAATTACCAGTTGTTTATAGAAGGCTTAAATATCAATTTTACTCTTTTGGTTTGAGTCCCAAATAATCTGTGACAACTACAGAAAATGCAGTTTATATTTAATAGTAATTCACATTGCAGAACAAAATGTTAGTGGTCTTCGTTATTAGAAATAGCTAATGTTTAATATTTAAAATTTCCTGTATACATACATGAAAAGCCTCACCCTGAACCTCCTTGCAAGCATTTTCCTTGCTTTTCCTAATCTCAAAAGCTAGCACTGTGCTTTGCAAGATAGGACAAAGGTAAGAGCATCCCTTGCCCTCTTTTCCCTCATGGTTTAGGATTATATTGACCCCAGTGCCCACACTGGAATGTCATTTATATATAAGGAGTACTAAGCATTACATCAAAGTCTTAATTTTCAGTGAAACTAGTAATTCTTCTATATTTTTAATTTTAGTATTTAAAAAACATCATGAAAGTAACATCATTGCAATGTTTGGATCTGTTAGACCTTTTGTTTCTGTTTCCAAATTCAAGACGTAAATGTCTATGATACAAAAATAAACTTTCAAAATGTAAGGTACATTATATGGACTTAGAATGAATTGGTTGTCTTCATAAATCTGTTGCAGTATTGTTGGTTTTGACAAAAACTAATATAATTTACCTTTAACTTTCTGTAACTTATAGAAAAATGTATAAGCTTGTATGCCCCACAGTATAGCTTAAGAAACTTGGTTTTATTAGTGCAAGCTTATAAGAGAAATAGAAGTATTGAATGTATTTAAAACCTGGATGTTAGCGTAGAGAAAAGTTATTTTATCAAAGCTTGGAATTTTTAGTGCATTACTATGCCTTAGAAGTCTATATTTTAATTTATATAAAAATCTGCATTTCACTCTTCTAATGTATGTCCTTTACACCATCACATAGGCTTTGTTTTTTTCAGATATTCAACTGTATGACAGGCTTTAGAAGTGGAAATGTGTGTGAAAATATTGTAATAACTCATTGTCAGCAGGTTAATTTGCATAATGTTTAATTTTTCAGACCTTGGCCACAGTGGATTGGGAGACCACTATGAGAATACTCACTGGGGACAGCAGCCCACTTTCCGAAGTGAAGCCAGTTGCGGCTGGGATAAAGTGATAATAGACAGGACTGACAAGGAAGCGTGGCCTTCCATTACAGGAACTGAGACTGAGTCTGCCTCAGAATGTACTACAGACACTGACTCTGCCTCCAACTGTGGCTCTGAGAATAGTAGCATGGCTACAGGGAGTGCCCAAGGCAACTTCACTGGACATACAAAGAAACCCAATGGCAATAATGGCACCAATGGAGCACTCATCCAAAGCACTTCTAACCAGAGTGCCCTTGGAGCTGGGGGAGCAAATAGTAATGGAAACTCAACCAGAGTGTGGGGTGTTGCCACCAATTCCAACTCTGGCTTAGCTCACTGCTCTGCCAGTGGTGGGGATGGAAAGATGGACAATATGATTGGAGATGTTAGAAGTCAGAATTGTTGGGGTGCTTCCAACTCAAATGCTGGCATTAATCTTAACCTTAACCCCAATGCCAATCCAGCTGCCTGGCCTGTACTTGGACATGAAGGAACTGTGGGAGCAGGCAACCCGTCCAGTATTTGCAGTCCAGTCAGTGCCATAGGTCAGAACATGGGCAACCAGAATGGGAACCCAGCAGGCACCTTAGGTGCTTGGGGAAATTTGTTGCCTCAAGAGAGCACAGAACCACAAACGTCCACTTCTCAGAATGTGTCTTTCAGCGTACAACCTCAGAACCTTAACACTGATGGACCAAATAACACTAACCCCATGAACTCTTCACCAAACCCTATCAATGCAATGCAGACAAATGGACTGCCAAACTGGGGCATGGCTGTTGGCATGGGGGCCATCATCCCACCCCATTTGCAAAGCCTTCCTGGTGCTAACGGGACATCAGTTTCTCAAGTCAGTGGGGGTAGTGGTGAAGGAATAGGCAATTCAGTGTGGGGGATATCCCCAAGTAATCCTGCCACAGGAAACAGCAATTCTGGGTTCAGTCAGGGGAATGGAGACACTGTGAACTCAGCATTAAGTGCTAAGCAAAATGGATCCAGCAGTGCTGTGCAGAAGGAAGGGAATGGAACAAATGCATGGGATCCTGCCAGTCCTGGAGTCTTAGCATGGGGCAGGGGCAATGGCAACAATAGCGTTGGTAGTATGCATTCTGGTGCTTGGGGACATCCAAACCGCAGCACTAGTAATGGTATTAATGGTGAATGGAGCAAACCCCCAAACCAGCATTCCAGTAATGACATCAGTGGGAAAGGATCAACAGGGTGGGATAGCTCTAGTGTTACCAGCCAGAATCCTGCCATGCAGCAGGGCAATGATCAAATAAATTCTTGGGCCAAAGCTGCAGCAACTGGCAACACAGGTAGTGAAGGAAGTAATGATAGCAATGGAAGTCAGAATGAAGGCAGTACTGGAAGAGAAGGCCCTGGAGAGTGTCGAAGAAGAGACAAGGGAATGATAGACCAAGGACAAGTCCAACTACCAAGGAGTGACCTTGACCCAAGGGTTCTTTCCAACACTGGATGGGGACAGACGCCTGTAAAACAAAACACTGCCTGGGAATTTGAAGAATCTCCAAGGTCTGAACGAAAGAATGACAATGGAACTGAGGCATGGGGTTGTGCAGCTACTCAGCCTTCAAATGCAGGGGGCAAGAATGATGGGTCCATCATGAACAGTACAAATACCTCTTCAGTATCTGGGTGGGTCAGCTCTCCACCTGCATCCGTTCCAGCTAATACAGGTTGGGGTGATAACAATAACAAAGCGCCAAATGGCCCTGGGGGATGGGGAGAGCTAACAAATTCAACTGCTGTCAATAATGCTGCTGCTGCCAAAAGTGGCCACACTTGGAGTGGGACCACAAATCAGGAGGACAAGTCGCCTACTTGGGGGGAACCTCAGAAACCTAAATCTCAAAACTGGGGAGATGGACAGAAATCAAATCCAGGCTGGACTTCAGGTGGCGGAGATTGGGTTGATTCCTCATCTATCCCTGGACACTTGGGAGATGGGAAAAAGAATGGTTCTGGATGGGATGCTGACAACAGATCAGGGTCTGGTTGGAATGACACTACACGTTCTGGGACCAGTGGATGGGGAAATGGCACAAATAGCAAAGCTAATACAGGTACAAGCTGGGGGGAATCTTTAAAATCTGGTCCCCAACAAAATTGGGCTTCTAAATCCCAGGACAACAATGTGAGTAATTGGGGAGGAGCTGCTTCTGTTAAACAGACTGGATCAGGATGGGTTGGTGGACCAGTGCCAGCCAAACAGAAAGATAGCAGTGAAGCAACTGGGTGGGAAGAGCCCTCTCCACCTTCCATTCGGCGCAAGATGGAGATTGATGATGGTACCTCAGCTTGGGGTGACCCAAATTACAATAACAACAAGACTGTAAATATGTGGGATAGAAACAATCCTGTAATCCAGAGCAGTACCACAGCCACCACCACCACCACCACTATCAACGCAAACATGGCTGAACCTCAGCCAACGCACCAGTCAAGTGCCCAGTCAAACCGGTCCCCTCTTCTTGGTCCAGGTAGGATACAGTTTTTGATTTTTTAGCATGAAGCTAATGTTGATCATACTTGTTATTGTTAACTTACGTACTCACCCTAAAATACATGTTCATATTTAAGATGAAAGTATAAGGTATAAATTTGGTTTCCAATGTGTTGCTTGTGTGAAAATGTCTGATTTATTTTACATCCAAATTTAAAGTGCACAAATCGAGCAGGCATGAAAGGCTAACAATACAGTCCTATGCATAGCTGCTCAAAATAAAATTCTAAATTCAGTAAGGTTTAATTTCAGGTAAGTGTGTATTGGATTGTCACCTGAATTAGGAAAACAATGTAATTACATAGATTTAAATGATCAGCAGAAGGGTAAAAAAAAATGGAAACAATATGCAATAAAATGAATCAGTGGAACATCTGTCACTTAAAAGAATAGCATTACTAATTCCTTGCTCTAAAGAAAAAGTGGAAAAGGTACAAAGGAAGATCAGATCATGAAATCATATTGGATAGAGACAGTACTGACTCCTTGTCTTTAGAATGTATAGAACCAAGTAAATATGTTTCGGACCATACGTTGACAATTCAGTGTAATTGGCTTGCATTTAATGTGAACATAATAGTGAGTCCATTAGCACTTATCTGTCTTCATAACTTGTGCCATATTTCCAGTCTTTTCTCAGTTCAGTTTTCTCATATGACCTGTGTGTTGTCCAGTCTTTGATTTTCATTATCAGGTACTACATCTGAGTGTTTTCTGCCAAAGAGATATTTCTTCAGTTGTTACTAATCTAACGTCTGCCTAGTTGTTGGAGTCAACTTTTTTTATTCATTAGCTTTTACAAAGAGATTTTTGTATGACAATTTTGTAAGGTACATTAAATAAATAATAGCAGCAAAAAAGCATTGATATAAGTTATTACATCATAATGAAATGTCTGAAAATGTCCGAATCCTTTCTTCTTCTCTCCAAGTTTTAGCTTTTTTGACCCCTACAGGAAGAATTCAACTCATACTGAAAACTCTTTGTTATTTGGTTTTAATTTAAGTGTATTTGTGCCATTTTCTCTGTTTCACTTGAAGTGAAGTGGAACTGGAATATAGGCAGCTGCCAGTATTGTACTTTGCTTGGAGTAAGAGAATCAAGCTTGTGAAGTTTATTTTAAGTTTATATTTTAAGTTTATATTTCTAAATTGTATGAAACACCTAATATTTTGGAATAAAATAGAAATGTGCCCATGGAATATCTGCAGAAAAGTGGGTATAAATCATATTAAATAAGCAAATAAATAGTTTAATCAAAGGAATAAGGATTAAGCCAATAAGCTGCATATGTGCTTAAGCAGCTGAGAACAGATTAGGAGCAACTGCATGCATTCATCCAAATATGCCCCAACAACAAACAATACTTGCGGGCCTATAAGGGCAGCAGAAGGAGACATTTTCTGCCAGATCCTTCTGGTTGGTGGATTACAAAATTAGTTGGGTTTTTTTATTATTATTTTGCATATTTTGCCCATTGGAACCTCCATGGATTGATAAAGCTTTGTATTTGTTGGGTAGCTCAGAGGCAAATAAAATAACATGCATAATTAAAATACAACATCAAAGTGTAGAAAAAAGCAAAAATGTGTTTCCAGTAAAAAAATGTGAAAAAAAAAACCTTTATAAAGGTGGTATATAAAAGACAGAAGATGTAGAAGCCAAGGTGGTAGAGGTACATAGATTATCTCCTGTTGTGGAAATTACTAGGTGCTACAGGATTTAAATAATCCTTTTCTCTAAGGGCAAAAAGAAACCAAAACTCACCATAGCTATTGACAGTCATATCTGTAGGCTTTTCTTTATAGCTACAGAGGTATCAGAAGACACCATGGTCCTTGATGCAGACCATCTCCTGTCCCTCCAATGGCTTGTAGAATCAGACAGTTTTTGATACAGCATCAGCAGCCCTTCAGATGCTTTCAGAATTTCCTTCATCATCTGTTCAACAGTCCTGAAGCAGTATTTGCCACTCTTACATCAGAGTGGCAACAATTAAATAAATCCAGTTTGGTGTAGTGGTTAATTAGTGAGGTGGCTCCCTTATTTTTAACATAGTTTTATTCTCTGTTTTGTTTTGCTTTTTGTATTTTTTGTCTGTTTTTAGCTTTGTTATATGTGAGTGAGCTGGACAGCTATATAAATTAGTTTAATAAATAAATAAATAAATAAAGAGAAAGAAAGCAAGCAAGCAAGCAAGCAAGCATTAGGCTAGAAACCAGGAGAAAGTGAGTACTAGTCCTGCCTAGGCACTAAGCCAGCTGGGTGACCTTGGGCCACTCACTTTCTCTCAGGAAGGAGGCAATGGCAAACCACTTCTGAAATACCTTGCCAAGAAAACTGCAGGGACTAGTCCAGGCAGTTTCTGAGAATTGGATAAAAAACAAAACACATCAAAGTGGCAACAGATAAATACACTTAAGGGCACTATATTTACTATGTCCTGAGTGATTAAGGAACCGTATGAAGCTTATCTCAGTTTGTATATCATTGGGATACCAGTTTGTGTATCACTGGGATAACATTACCTAGCCTTGATTTTAGATTAGTCCCACTAAATATATTAACCAAAGACTGGTAGTACCTGTTATAAGACTTGGATTAAAAAATTCCCTCTCCTCCACTGTGCAGATGTCCCATGTGACAATTGCACAATTGTCTTCAGGAAAGGATTATATGGAGGGGCATCTGTATAGGAGGAATAACTGAGAAGCCGTAGGTCATACTTGTGATTATTGACATGGTGAAGGGACAGGGCTTACACTTTTCTACAACACATTTCTGATAAAGTGTGAATCAGACTGAGTGGATGATTTTGTCAGTGAAGGTCATTTAGTATCATTTTGAATGGAGAACTAAAAGCTATAGTAATGGAGATGGGATTTAATTATGAGAATCCTTAGAACTTTATTTAAATATATATTTATGTCTTTGAAAGAAGATTGGGCATTTCCTCACCTTTATTTGAGAAGATAGTTGATCAGTTTTTCCTAAAAATTCTAAAATAAAGTAATACTAATAACCCCAGTAGGTTAGAGTACTGTGTATTAAGAATACTAGGTATTACTTACTTTATTTGATGTCTAGCAACCCTCTTATAAGTCAAATGTAATACATTCCTAGAATGGTCAAATAAATATGAATTATATTGATCATAGGCTCCAAGATCAGGAATTAATTGTTAATAGATCCTGCATTCTATTAATATTGGGCAACTATCTATAATATTGATTTTCTTGTTAGGTTACTGTTGTATGAATGCACTGTTGCTTGTCCTAGTTCATTTGAGAATACATAGCTAGTTTAGGAAACTAGTCTCCATGAATAAATTACTAATCACCCTTTTAAATACAATTAAATAAAGAATGCTGTCCTATCATATAATCAACCTGTCAAGTGTAGCTTTTTAAAGCTAAGTCAATCTGAAGATTTGAAGCAAATTCATATTATTGTTATGGAATGGTTCTTATTTTGGACCAGCAGGAATGCTTTGCTATATGAATCAGTTTAATTTGAAAGATTACATACAAACATTATCCAGATAAAGTAATGAAAATCAAAGACTGGACAACACATGGGTCATATGAGAAAACAACTGTGAAAAGACAAATCACAGGCATTCCCCAGTCAGCTTTGATTTACTTTATCTGAATAATGTGTGTATGTAATCTTTCCAGTATCTCACAATTTGCCCTCTTCAGTAGAGATCTGTCGTTTTCCATATTGTGCCTGTGAAGAGACGTGAATGCCTAATTCTGTTGGTTTAGTTAATTTTACTAATGTCATGCTTTGCTTGCTTGAAGTGTTTTGTATGCATACGTTAATAGTGCAAATATGCATAGCTACTCTTAAAACACCAGTAGACTTTGGATTTTTTTCCAGGATTCAAATGTCAGTAACGCCCAACTTATTATTTAAGATTTTTCTTACTAACCATCACTATGACTCTGCAGTTTTTTGCACTCAGTTTGATCTCTGGAGAACTTTACAAACTATGAGTGTCTTAATGCATGTTATTGTTGTCATATAATTATAACTAATTTGGCATGGCATGAACTCCCTTGTTGTGAATAATAATTTACATAATACGTGGCTCAATACACAGTGCATTTAGTGATGATTTATACCTTACAGATTGATTGTTTTTAATAATTATTGAATTTAAGGAGAACACTGGGAAACTGATCTTTTTCTTTTTATTTAACATATGAATAGATGTTCCAATGTTATTATGATGTTGTGGTTGGTGTTACACATGGAGAAGCTGAAAGCTTTTAAAATAATACATATTACCACATTTCAATATCTTCCCAGCCACTGTTCTTAAAGGGAAATATTAAAAAATCCCTTTCAAAGACTGTGCCCTTATGAAGAAGAATCCATTGAATCTGTAGCTTGTGGCCTTTCATATTTTTCCTTCTGTAAGATGCAAGGTCCCACTTTATAGGTCCCTATTTGGCAAAGTATCCTGAAAATTACGATTTATTTTATGTATAGTTCTTTTTATATGACCTTTTACTATTTTATTTCCTTGAATGTGACTAAATTTTGTTACACCATCTGTAAAACTAGAATGCGCTGTTCACCATGACAACCTAGTTATATTTGTATGTTACTTTATTTGAAATGGGAATAATTTTATTTTATTTGAAATAGAAACAAATTAATTAATTAAAATAATAATAAATAATAATTTAAAAAATACTTTATTATTTTGTTAACTTGAAAAATTCTGATCAATGACTATGATAAAGTCTGTCTATTTACATAGTATTTACTATCTACATAGTAGCTTCCTTCATAATATTTAATTGTACTTAATTTCTGGTACGGTAATATAATTATGATGGGATATGATTATATAATCAGAAATTAGTGAAGGCTTTTAACATAAGGCCCTGTTAGGAGCAACCTCAAATCCATATGTGAACATCAGTGTTCCTTTCGTCTGAGCTCCTACTTTATGAAACTCTCCTTCTATATCCATTCTGTTTTCTCATTTTCATTCTCATTCATTCATTCATTCATTCATTTCATTCTCATCTGGATTTTTTCCATAAGCCTGCTGTTCCCCGTTCTGTTGCTTTTCAAGTTTTTCCCTCAACTTTTCAAAACCTTTCTGTTTCTGTACCCCCCCCCCCAAAATAGGCCGCATTATACAACATACGCACGGCCACAAATAAACTGTTAACCAGGTTCTGGTTTTTTGTTGTTGTTTTAGCATGTCATACCAATTTTAATGTACAAAGTAGGTTAAAAGACTATATTATCCTTGTGGTAAGCCTCTGAGGTCACTCCCTTGTTCTTGGATAAGGATTTGTCCAAAAGTGCCCAACTGATGGCTAAACAGGGATTTGGACAAAAGTCTTGAAGAAACTCCTTCCACTACCCTAGCTTTGCGATGTACACTACTTAAAAGACTTAATTCTCTAGACAGCTCAGAAATAACTTGCCTTTTTATATGTTTGAATACAAAATGTTTGAAATGTTCCATCAAAATAGCAGTAAAATTAAACCTGCTTCCTTAACATCAGTAACTATTATCAGACTGACTTATTCAAAATAGTCAGCTTAGGTGCTAAAAGTTAAAAAAAGATTGTTTCCTGTGCTATTGGCCAAATAGTTAGCAGGATGATATATTGTACACTGTATTTTCCTCAAAGGGACCTACTGCATTACAACAAGGCATTGGTAAACAGCGCATAATGTTTGACCTTATAGTATCTGCCCCCCCATGATCGTAAGTTCTTCTGAAAATCATCCGAAGTGAAAAGACTAGAAGAGATAGGGTTGCTCATAAAGATTGCATCACCTAGTTAGCTTACAAGCTGCTTACAAAGATAAGGTAGCTCAAAACAAACTCTGGCAGAGATTTTGTTTCTGTTTGAATTAATAGATAAAGGTGGCTGTTTCAAACTCTTAAAACTCCACCATGCACAACTGAGAATAATGTTTAGACAGCATTGTTTATAATCCTATATAACCATAGACAGCAGTAGTAACCATACTGCAGACTTGCTGCCCAGGAAAAGCCCACCAGATGTGAGGAATGCTGGGGACTTTTTATTCAACAGCATCTGGAGAGCTACAGATTCTTTGCTGCCTACACACATCCATTCACACCTGTTAATGTAACCAGCATATGCAGGAATAATTCATTTTGCAGAATGTTAAAACTAGAACAACATACCGGCCTTCTTACACTAAGGTAGATGTTCTTTATCCAGACTTTACTGAAGTAGTAAGTATATTTCAACTTGATTCAGACAAAGCATAATAGTTATTTTAAATGTTACGTGCATGAATTTTGGATTTCTGCATACCACCCTTCTCTCTTCTGATATATAAGGAGGTTGTTTAATGTATTTTTGGAAGATGTTCTAAAATGATCCTTTAATATAAAACATTAAAATTTGGTATCAAATCATAAAAGTATGTTAAACTTAACAGCTTTAAAATTTACATCAAATATCTAAGAGTAGTATATAGCATAAAATATTTTAATTAAAAAACAGAGAGAACAAGTATATTAAAAGTAATTATGGATGAAGCCAGCACTGTTTTTCTCAGGATGAATTTTAGAGTTTTACTTTGAATGGACTGGGGAATGCTTGTGATTTCAGTCATCCAAATGAATGAGTAGATGTTCTTCTTTATTTTGAGGTTAATATTTTTTATAACTAGCATTTGTAAATTTTGAAAATATTTGGATGGAAAAAGATCATTTAGCAAAGAATTCTTACCGTAGGACAGTGATTCTTGATTCTTCTTTCAGGAAAAACAAAACAAATCACTGTCTTAGGTGACTAATGAAATATTAGCTGAACTTGCTTCATGTTTACAAGTTGTCCATAATTTTTAAATAATATTATTAAATATGTCACCTTAACAATTAATTCTGTGTTTTGTTCTCAACATGGTTTTTTCAATTTCTGATTTCAGCAGGCTGGGGAGAGATGCCTGCCGTCCATGCAAAGCCTGAAGCTTCATGGGGAGAACCTTCCTCCCCTTCTGCTGCAGTTGATAATGGCACTTCAGCCTGGGGGAAGCCCCCTAGCAGTGGTACAGGGTGGGGAGATAACTCTGCTGAGTCAGCAGGGACATATGGAAGAGTGAGCGCACCAACTGCTGCCCCAGCACTGTGCAAACCAGGTAAAATGGGTAGTTAGTTCATTGATTGGCTTGGCTAAGGTGGAAGAAAAAAGAGTCCTGCTTTTGTATGTCTTTTTCAATTTAAATGGGTATTCTTTTATGTTGTGGTAGATGAAAGACTTATCAGCATCTAGAATTGCTGTCCTTTTTGTTGATTCATTTCTAAACTCTCCAGTTTTATATACTAGTAAAGTAAAATATAGTGTTGCCATGATTACAGATAGCTATATTTAAGAGAATAGGAAAGCTTACTTAAATCCTCCATTTTTTCCATAGCTTCTAAATCTTCTATGCAAGAAGGCTGGGGCAGTGGTGGAGATGAAGTAAATCTCAGTACAAGTCAGTGGGAAGATGAAGAAGGAGATATGTGGAATAATACTGCTTCACAAGAGAGCAATTCCTCTTGTAGCTCCTGGGGGAATGCCCCAAAGAAAGGACTTCAGAAGGTAGGACTGAAACAGTTGGGTTACAAGTATCAATAATTTGGTACTTCATAATCAATAATAATGATATTGCTTTCATTATTGAATAGCTCAAATCTGTTATTATTGTTATAGACCAGCATATGTTATTATTCTATGGAAGAGTAATAGCCATTATTTCCAGCTTTTTTATTGTATGGGCATGATACTCAGAAGCAGTTATGCCTAATAAAACCAGCGCATAACAAAACTGGAGGATTAGGGTTAGGGTTTTTGAACCAAGTATTATCTGCTCACATACAACACCTGACTAAATTGAAGTATTTTCCTTTCCATGCAAAAGTTGTCATGTCAAAGATAATACAGAATTTTACAACAAGGTTTTTCCAAAATGTTACAGATCATAATTGCAAAATGATGAATTAGATATTAAGGCTGTGCAGAGATCCAGATTTGAAGAGCGAATGTGATTCAGAGCATGTGTGGCTATGTACATAATACTTGTCAGAAACTTCTTAAACCACACATATCTGTATCCGGGGTCCCACACCAACTACAAAGAGCAGACATACAAGACCAAACAAAGGCATCCCTGCTCTTTGAGTCTACTTCTCTTTACCACCCTATTAGATATTGTCCCTGTTCATTGTTCTAGGGAGAGTGTTATACTTTTAATTCTGTCTTAAACCCAATGCAGTTATTGTCCCCTAACATGGGTATGTTTAAAATGGAGAAGGGGAATTTCATACCGGTTGCATGCCATTGTGGAATTCAGCTTTTGGGTTTAGTAACTACTCTTGTCAATGGTTCAATAATCTTATGGAATAAAAGGCTGATTTCATCTATTTACAAAGTGGCTGTTAATGACCTATACTTTATTGATGGATCCTCCAATAGATGAACAAATTGGAAAAAAGAATAGGCACTAGAGATAATTAACACTATCTGAACACACAATAGCCATTTGTGGGCACTGATTATGCAGAGGAAGAGTATGCATGATACAGAAAATACATTGTTTTGAACCCAAAACCATTGCATTCCAGAAGTTCAGCCAACTCCTTTATGGGTTTTGAATTTGGGCCAAAACAAAACCTGGAATAATACCAGAGTGGTTTTACGGGGCAAGAAGGACAAGATTGGTCCACATTGTCCCTTTGTTTCTTCTTCTCCTCATGGCTCTATACAGGTAGTCCTTGGTTAACAACGGGAATTGGGACCAAAATTTCCATTACTAAGTGACACGGTCATAAAGTGCGACATAACAGCAGTTCCATCACATCCAGCTGCCATCGTTAAGCAAATCACACACCATCATTAAGCGCGACGTCATGTGGTCGCCATTTGTGATCTGCAGCTTCCCTATTGACTTTGCTTGTCAGAAGCCAGCAGGGAAGGTCGCAAATGGTGGTCACGCAAATGGTGATGCTGCAATGTCATAATTGCAAACCAGTCACTGAGTGCCTGGTTCACAGTCATGATTACGGGGACACTTGGACGACCAGAACTTCAAGGACCAGTCTTAGATACCACTCGTTCAGCGCTGTCATAACCTTGAACAGTTGCTGAATGAATGGTCATTAAGTGAGAACTACCTGTACATCAACCTGCTGCCCTCCCCAACTTCCCAGCACTTTCCTTTACTCTCCTTCCCTGCTTCTCCTTAGCCACCTCTGCCACGGTCTATGTCCCAGCATGGCATGTCTTCCTGGCCCTCTCATACCTGATATTCCTAGCTTCCCTTCAGCTGCACTGGTGTCTTCATATGCCATATTGCCAAGGAAATCCCTCAGCCTTCCCTTTTTCCCACTTCCCTCCCCCCACACTGCCTCCCCTCCCTCCCAAAAAAATCATCCCCACACAAAACCACTTCTACCTGAAACAACTGTGTTGTGCTCTGTATCTGGAACAAAATCATCCTTGATGAAATATTTGCAAGGCACATTCTAGTCTGTTTTAGATGTTCTCCCTTTAAGATTTGATACTGAAATAAAAATGTAAAATTAATTCATCGATTGCTTCCTAAAATGCTATTTCTCTTACGATGTTTTAAAATCAGAAGTGTATATAACTCTTGCTTTAAGGAAATTTATTTATTATTTTATTTATATAGTTATTTGTAAGCTACCTCATCCAGTGATTCTAAGCAGCATATATTTTGTAGAACCATAAACTTGTATTAAAATATAGAACAATAATCACATCAATACAAAGAATCAGACCACTATAGTCACATCCTCCATTCTAATCTCAGTGGGCAAGAGTTCCAGTGTGAGGGGGCTACAGCTGAAAAGGCCTGCCTCCAGAGTCCCATCCCCTTCACACTTTAGGAAAGGGGGATCTACACCATGCCCTTTTGACCTCTGCCTGTTTGATAGGCAGATTCTACCTGGGGCTGACAGTCCCAAAGCTAGCAAGGATCCAAGCTATTAAGGGCTTTATAGATAATAACTAGCATCTTGGTGGATACTCTCTTTGCTTTATATCTTGAATAAGAACTTTTGCCATTATTGCAGGTCATATCAGTTGTGGATATAGTTTGCTCATTTGGATAAGCATAAATACTGAAATTATTATCTAGCTCTAAAGGGAAGTCTCATTGTTATATTACATCTTGATATATGGAATAGAGTTGTTTGTGATTGGCGTGGCCCATAAATATGATATGGGCCACGCTAATAAAATATTAATTAATTAATTAAACCTGTGGGAAGGTTATTCCCAAAATAATAGTAATTTATAATTTAGTACTCTGATTCTTGAATTAACATAAATGCAAACATAATTTAGGTGTCCATAACTTATGAACCAATGTAGGACACTGATAGTCTTACTATGATGTTGGGCATCTCTGATTTTGCATGACATACAAAAATAGGATTGAAATTTTGGAGGGACTGTAATTTATTTAGTTGATCATAGATTATGTATATATTTACATTTATGGTGGGGTTTATGCCCCACTGTAATCAATCAACTCTTGATGGCTTACAGGGAATAAAAAAAAAGATAATTTAAACATCTACATAGAATACCGCTTTTTTCCCCAAAACCCATGAAACATGATTTTTTTTTCTCCTCCTCCATTTCCCCCACTTTCTAATATTTTTGTAATAACTTTGTAGTGCTTTTGTACTTTAATCTTTATTCTGTAGTTTTGTACATTGCTTCAGGATAACTGAATATATTAAATGAATAAAATGAATTTCAAAAATAAAAAGCCCAAAACTTAATGTTAGATACACAAACTGCAGCAAGCCTTGCTTTTACAAATTCATCCTCCACTTTTCCATTTAACCACCAATAGATAGCTTCTGTTTTCAGCTTTAAAGGAACCACATTTTTTCCATATGTCCAACTGAGGAATTTTAATTAGTTTAAATGGTTAATTTAAACATTAGGATCAAACCATAGTTTACTGCACGGATTTGTTCATTAATTACAGTTTAAACTCAAGGCCCCAGAGTTCATACAACTGCCTACAAGCCTCCAAAAGTTGTTATCAGGCAGAGATTGGTTATAATAGGGAGGTCAGATTAATTAAAAAAACATCTACTTTAATATTTTTTTCTGATATATAGGAGTAGAAGAGAGGAACTTGGTGGTAGATCCAAAATTCACCGCAGTTTCTGGTTACTGCCATGTCAATATTCAAAATATTATTTTGAAGCCAAGTTTGTAACCATATACAAGCTTGGCTTATGGTATACTTGGTGATCATTTAAGGAAAAATAGATTTAGGCTGCAGTCCTGTATCTATTTACAAGGGAGTAAAGTAGGGCTACCATTGGGGCTGCAAAAAGCTCAGTGTTTTCTGTATCTTTTTGCTGCCATGTAATGATTGTCCAGATTTGCAGGCTAGATAGAACAGTGGTAGAGTAAGGTCCATTAAACTCAATAGGCTTTTTTCTGAGTACATATGTTTAGAATTTGGTTTTCTTATTTCTTTTAATTTTCATAGGGCATGAAGACATCTAGTAAGCAAGATGAGGCCTGGATCATGAATCGTCTGATAAAACAGCTTACAGACATGGGCTTCCCAGTAAGTCTTATTCATATTTCAGCATATTCTAAATGTGAAACTGATTATCTTCTAAGCAAATATATAACATGTCATCAAGATCAAACTCTGGGTGAGACGATAAAAGGGTAGATGTCAGTTTTCAAAAAGATTCAGAGGAGGTCTAGATTACAAGCAATAGCATTGGGGGGTGGGCAGGAAGGGGCATAATTTCAAAAGCAGCATCAAAATGAATGTGAAACAGGCCCTGCCCCTTTTGTCCATATGAAGTAGTGTTGCACATATGAAAGAGGCTGAGCTTGTGTCACAGTGCTGCTTTTGTCATATTTATGAAAGCAGTCAATCTTGCAAAGGCCTGGGATTACGGGCTGCTAACCATAATTTCTGTTCTAGGAAAATTGGCAGAAAGCTGGTTAAAGATACAATTATTTAGTTTATAGAAGATGGTCAATGTCCTTCTACAAAACTAAGTCTTACTTTATCAACCTCTGAGAATTCTTCCAGGGTGTCAACAAAGAGAAGTGGGATGAGCCAATAGATGTATTTTACTTGAAAAGATGTTGTAAAAAAAACTCAGATTAAGGGCTCCTGAAGATATTTTTTTTGATATCATAGTTATACAATGCCTGAGGAAGTCTTAATGTGGATTAGTAACCAGTTACAAAACAGAAAGGATTCATTGGTTTTGCATTTGAATGTAAAATTACACATTTTCTTTTTTTTTATAGTAATTTTATTAAAGATTACAGTTTACAACAGTAAAAAATAATACGAACAAAAAGAAAAAACAGAAGGTTCAGAAAAGAAAAAAGAGAAAGAGAAACAAAAATAGAAAAGAAAGAAATAGTAAGAATATAGTAAAGAAAAAGAAAAGAAATATATAAGAAGTGACTTCCCCCTTCATCATAAATATAAACAATTTTAGTAACTTATCACCTTCTCTTAAAATACAACAAATGATCTCTTCTTCACATATCCCATCTCTTATCTATAAACAAATCGATAAACAAATCCATCCAAGCCGCCCAGAGTCACCCATTGGGGGGAGATGGGTGGCATACAAATTTAATAATAAGTAAGTTAATTAATTAATTAAACCTCTTTATTTCAGTCCTGATGTCAGCAAAAGTCCATTAAGGGTTATCAGATATAACAATATATCTATTTTAACCTTGATCAAATAAACCAACTTTATATTCCTTCCTTTTGCTTCTAACAACCTTGATTTTTAGTCCCTTCAGATAATGTCATAGAACTTGATTTCTTTTCATTTTTTCTTTGTCACTTTTCACAAAATACTTCAAAGATTTAACAAGCCTCTTTTGTAAATCAAATATAGGAAATTAACCAGGTCATTCTCTTGGTTTGTACCTTGTATATCCCTTTTGATTATTAAGACATCAGCCGGTTTCTTTTATATGTCCAGTGCAGCATCTTTTTCCATGTCATTCTTGTAGCCTATCATTTTTAAATCCACTTTCAAATCAGTCTCAATCAGGTTAGGTAATACTTGTTTCTCTTCCATAGCATCTTTTAAACACAGTCTATCTATAGAGGCAGACACTTTTAAAATTAACTTCTGGTTCTGTTGTTCAAAAATATCCTTCAATATGTCCAGTGTTAAAATATTTTCCTTCATTCTGTATTAGTAAGTCAAGTTTGAGTATTCTTCCCCTTTAGTTGTAATCTTCAGTTCCTTCTAGTTCCCTCTAGCATCCAATTTTTAAAGTCTTGTCTTATTTTTTTTTTAAAAAAAACTCAAAATGAAAGCATTTTCCCTTGGGAAGGATTCTTTATAATTAATTCCAAAATCTTATTTCAAATTTA